GACCAGGGGTTACGAGCTTGAGCTCGACAACGACGACACCTTCTTATAGTGTGTGAGAAAGATAGAGTTTAGAGAGAGACGAAAATAGAGTTGGGTTTAGAGAGAGATGGAGTTTTAGAGAGAGCGAGAGATGGAATTTGAGTTTTAGGGATAGAGATGGAGTTTTGAGATAGAGGAGATGATGTGAGAGAGTGAGATAGAGTTTAGGTTTTAGAGAGAGATGGAGTTTTGAGAGAGAGAGAGGATGATGTTAGAGAGAGAAAGAGATAGAGTCATTTCATAAGTTGTTGAGGTCAATAATACATGGTAAAAAATGTTTAGGGAGTTGGAAGATAAAAAAAATAGAGTCATTTTGCTTACAAGTAATATTTTCAATTTTTGAGTCTGATGAGATATAGAAGTTAAAAATAAGGGATAATAAGATATTTTTCCTATAATAATATATATTAATAGAATAAATATGAAATACGAAAGCTAATATATTATATTATGTTATATATATATAATAAAATAAATATAAAGTACACCATATTATATATTATATTATGTTATATATAAATACACTATATTATATATTATAGTATATTATAGATATCATGTATTTATATTTAAATTATTACCATATATTTATTTTATACTATTACATATAATATATACGGGCAATGATTTCATGCAACCGTTGTACAGTAATATGATACAACAAGCTTTAAAAACCATCTTATGCCCATTTGTTTGAACCAAAATTTGAAATATACACTCTTTTCATTCTAATGAACAATCACAAAAAAAGGAAAAATTGAAAACACAACCTAAAAAGTATTTTTTTAGCTCAATTAACATAGGCCGTTCATTTTGGTGAGATACTTAGATCTGGGCCTTAGAATGATTTTTTTCATTTTATTATCATTAGATGAACAATGTTAAAAAAGAAAAAAATTATTTTGAGCTTATAAAAGCTAAGATATTGAAATTCACAAAATAAAAGGTCTAGATTCATTTTTGGAGGGGACTCATTTTGACCATATCTAGGGTTCAAATTGAACTTTTTTTTTTTGGAATTGATTACTGAGATGAAGGGAGTGTGTGTGTAAAATTTGAGGTCATACAAATACCACAAACATGGTTGTCTAAAAGTGTCGTTGCATTATACTATGATACAACCGTTGCATTGAATCATTGCTCAATATATATATGAGTAATGATTTCATGCAACCGTTGTATAGTAATTTGATGCAACAACCTTAAAAAACCATCTTATGCCCATTTGTTTGATCCAAATTTTGAAATAAACACTCTTTTCATTCTAATGATCAATTACATAAAAAGGAAAAATTGAAAACACAACCTAGAAAATATTTTTTTAGCCCAATTAACATAGACCGTTCATTTTGGTGAGATGCTTAGATCTAGGTCTTAGAAGGATTTTTTTATTTCCACTTTTTTTGGAAGGATTCATTATCATTAGATGAACAATGTTAATATATATATATATATATATATATTTTGAGTTTATAAAGGCTAAGATCTTAAAATTCACCAAATGAATGGTTTAGATTCATTTTTGGAGGGGACTCTTTTTGACCATATTTGGGGGGATTGATTATTGAGATGAAGAGAGTGTGTGTACAAAATTTGGGATATTACAAATACCACAAACATGGTTTTCTAGAAGTATCATTTTATTGTACTATGATACAACCTTTTCATTGGATCATTGCTATATATATATGATATAATATATTATATTATATAATATAATATGTTTTGTTATATAATATATGTTATGTATGTAATAGATATTTACAATACAATATATATTATTTTATGTCTAATATAAAAATAATATTTAATATACAATACTTAAATTAAGGAAAATTTATATAGAGCCGAGGCTCTAAATAATCACATTCAAGCCTACCTCAAAAATTTCACTAGACGAGATTGTTTTAATGCCAAAAAATACTCAAATTGATCATCTCGACATCAAGATGCATGAACATGAGAAAAAAAAATTTCAAGTTTTGGAAATAACGTATTTTGTAATGCATTTTTTGACCGTCAATTTTCAATATTTTCAAGTTTTCATAGATATGTCGATCTACACCATTTTTAAAGCTTTAAACTTTATAAATAAAGATCACAATATATGTTAAGGCTATCACAAAGATTTTCTGTGTTAAACCACATTTCTCGATACTATTTAAAGATAGGCTCTAATTTGATTGTTTAGAGCCTAGGTTCTATACAAACTGCACCCTTTAAATAAATATATCCCAATAAATTGTCAAACACTAAATACTTGGAACTTCTTTAATATTTTAACAAGTTAGCAAACATATACACTCAAAACTTCCTTAAATAACTTCTCCTCTCATTAAAGAAAACAACTGATTTTTAAGGTGCATTTACCTTTTAGTTATCAAATACGGCCTATTTGAAGTTGTTTTACGATGTCATTTCAAATTTTTTGATATTTTCGAGGTTGTTTTGGTAGATTGGAGAACATTCCAAAATGTGGTTCCCAAAACCCCAATGTAAGTTTTTTCCAGGGGAAGTAATGGTAGTTTGGATGTGTCGTAAATAAGGGTAGCAACGGGTTGAGTCCAGGGTCTGGTTTTAGGTTCCATACCCATACTTGTTGAGTCCTACATCTATCCCATCGGGTTTCAGGTTTGGTTAGGTCTATTACCACATTTACTATGAGTTTTATTTTTCTTTGGCTTTTTTTTTATAATCATATACTCATATTATTGGCAACAAGGTCACACTCACTCGGCATTAGATTTCATTTGATAACTAAAGATGAATACGAGTTCTTATTGTATACAATGCTTAATAGGTGCGGTTTGTATAGAGCCTAGGCTATAAACAGTCAAATTAAAGCCTACTTTCATCGTCTATCCCATTGGGTTTCAGGTTTGGTTAGGTCTATTACCACCTTTACTATGAGTTTTATTTTTCTGTGGCCTTTTTTTATAATCATATACTCATATTATTGGCAACAAGGTCACACTAACTCGGCAGTAGATTTCAAGTCATCTGATTTGTCATTTGATAACTAAAGATGAATACGAATTCTTATTGTATACAATACTTAATGGGTGCGGTTTGTATAGAGCCTAGGCTCTAAACAATCAAATTAGAGCCTACCTGCAACTAGTGTCGAGAAATGTGGTTTCAATATTGGAACTTTTTGTGATAGCCTTAAAATATATTTTTGTATTTATTTATAAAGTTTAAAGCTTCAAAAATAATGTAGATCGATAGATTTATGAAAACTTGAAAATCTTGAAAATTGACAGTCCAAAAAATGCGTTACAAAATACATTATTTTCAAAACTTGAAATCCATTTTTTTCTTGTGTCCATGCTTGTTGATGTCGAGATGATCAATTTGAAGATATTTGAACATCAAAACAACTTATTCTAATGAAATTTTTTAGGTAGGCTTAAATTTGATTGTTTAGAGCCTCGGCTATATAAACTTTCGCTATATATAATACACCAAAACAAATAGGGTTTGAAGTTTTTTTTATGGACGTTAGTTTATGGGTATGGGTCGAATCCAACCCGGCCTGGACCCGAATAATGTGAGTCCAGGTTTTAGATCCGGACCAGACGGTCCGAATGTTGGACCCAGATCCGGTCGTATATACACGATAGATCCGAATCGGGTCCTGGTTTTGAAATACGGATTTATATATGCGATGTGCAATAGATAAAGGCGGCTCTTCTCTCTCTAAAACTCGACGCTGGTGCTTCTATATTTGGCCCTGGTCTGCCTCCTCTAAAAACATATCCTGTCCCTCTCAATCTTTCTGAAAACTCCATCGAGACGTTCTCATGGAAGGCAGAATTGGAGTCGCTGATACCTCAGCGAACGGACAAACCCATGATGCTCATGAGAATGTTAATGGAGATCCAGTTCCTGAGAATGGCCTGTATCGACCTTATATACAAATCCCAAACCAGTGCAATACTTGTATGGTTGATCAACCTAGGGCTTGTCAGGAAACCTTAACTCTTTCCGAGAACGAACGTCGAGGCCGAGCCTCTTCTCATTTTCTGCAACTGCTTGGGGGTGCTGATGAAGTTCCTAAGTTGTTCCAGTGCTTTGTTTGCCTGTAAGTCCTTCATTGAAACGATTTGGTTCCCATATCTATGAGTTTTTTATTCTCCGATGTCCTTTCGAATTGCTTTATTTTTAGGCAAAATGACTGTGATACTGTAAATTAATGGCTTTTAGAGATTAATTGGTGCAATTTTGATTAAAAACTATGGTGGGAGGATTTGTATATTGGTGAATTAGGTTTTCGGTTGAGCTATTTCATGGACATCTGCTGATTTCCTTGGTGATATGACATACTGATTTTTTTATCTTAGCCTAATTGTAGATAGTGTTAACTTTTAATTGGAAGCCCGCTTTTTTTTTTTTGTCTTTACGAAAATGTTGACTGTATGTATGTGTTTATTATAAAAGCTTTACCAGCTTTAGTATGGTGATGGTATACGCCAGCAATTAAGAACTGGTCATGTAAAAAATTGTGGGGCAAAAGTGAACCAGAAAAGTCGGTGGGCATCACAAGATTACTATTCCTTACTCAGGGTGGATGATGAAAAGGGAGTTGTTAGCAGCGCCTGGTAAGCTGAGGTGTCTGCGGCATTGTTAGCCTCGCTCAATCTGTGGTTGGAGGAGGTTTGGTTGGTCTCACTCTGCTAAAAGATTTCTTCAAAAATCTGGTCCAAGTGCATGGAGAGGATCCTTTCACCAATTTAGGATATTTTTTCGAGTCTCCCTCGACCACTTGACTGTAGCTCACCTAGAACAGCCCGAGACCATGGAGTAGTGCGAGGGCTTGGGCCATGGTCGTAGTTGTGGTTCCTGATAGCAGGGTAGCACCATGCAATCCTTTAACAGCCCCCCACACGCTGCACCCCAGTTTCCAGAGGAACACACAAAAAGCTCAACTTAGCAGCACCCTGATTCTGGGTGATCCAGTGGGAGGATCTACGAATTGGCTCTGAAGAGAATTTTAGATAGCTTTCCATTCGAGTAGGAAGCCAACAGTGTCATAGACTTTGATTTCTTTCTGACCTTTTTTCCCATTCAATCACTATCAACCTGATATTATACTTGATTGAGTCGAGTGACCTTTCCTTTCTGTCAAAGATTATCCTATTGCTCTCAAGCAATACATTCCAAAAGAGGGGAAAAATGGATGCCTTCCGAAGTAGCAGGCCAGCCTGGGGTAGGCCGGTGAGAGGTGTGCATGGAAAACGCTGCTGAGTAGTCTTGCGCATCACTCATTATACCTGAATAGAAGAGGAAGCACCACAACTGCGCCACAAAAGGACAATTTAGTTATAGATGATCCACATTTTTTTGCTTTCCTTACACAAATTGCATTTTTTGGGAGAGGGAGACCGTGTTGTTGGAGTTGGTCCATTGTAAGGACTTTTTTTATGGACTGTTAACCAGCAGAGGAGTTGGATTTCTTTGGGGGAATTGGAGGGACTACGCCCTTCTGGCCAGTGAAGTGAAAGCATCGTCACCTCTGGTATTCTTGTAGAAAGAAGACACTGTGAAGAGTACCAAAGATTTTGGGTCCACGGTAGTTTGTCTCTACCCACGCCAGGTATGTAGAATGTTTGAACGAAGATAAGAGGTTCTCCAACTCAACCAATTCACCTTCATTGACATTTCACCAGAAGGTCGGGACCAAATGTGATGTCTTCATAGGGAGTCAAGGTAATCCAAGATAGTGCAATTTTGATTTGTGGCCTGTAAGATCAAGGCTGGGAATTGGTGTTCCAAGGCTGTGCTTCCCAGCCAAAGGGCTTCCCAAAATCTTACTCTATTACCTATTTTGTGTAGAAAGTGGGTAGGGGTGGAGAAAGAAGAGTAGGCCTACAGGACCCCCTTCAAAGCCTCCGACATGTCGTCCCCTTTGGGAGCCATTCTGGGTCACCAGCTCCATCTTTATGGTGCAAAGCTGTTTGCTTATAGTTGGCTTTCGTGGCTGCCAAATCTCCACAACCATTTTTCTAGACTGGCTGCATTCATGTTATTGAGAGATCTGATATTTGGTCCCCCTGCTTTTTAGGCTTGGCAAACAGTCTGCCACTTGACAAGGTGGAGCTTACAATCATATCCGGCTCCTGGGCAAAGGAAATTTTTCATGAGCTTCTCTAATCTGTTTACTACCATTAGAGCCCTCTTTATAATTAAGTTTATTCATTGCTTTTATTTGTTAATTTCATTTCTTTTTTGTAGGAATTAAATCTTTGTGAATCATGTTGAGAATAACATGACTTTGGATATCTTGGAACTGTACCGCTAGAGGAATCCTGGAAAAATGTTTTCTTTATTTTTTGAGGTTGCTCTGCTTCATCTGAAGCATTAGCACTTGCTTTGAGTGAATTATTTCAATCCCTTTAATTATCAATAGGAATAATAGTTTACACATGAATCTTTCTGTTTATTGCAGTGGTTTAAAAATCGGTGTGTCGACCCGGAATCGCCCAGGTCGACACGAGAATCGCCTTGCCTGTGCCAGTTCCTGCACAATATCGGAAACCGGGCGAGTCTAGAGAAGAATCGCCTATTCCCGCCGATTTACAACAGTAAATCGGCAAAATATTCCCATTTCTCAACAGCAGACACGTGGCAGCCCCACCGCACGCGTGTCGAGCCACAATAACGCGTGACACATCGCCCTTGTGCCTCTACATGCACGATATTAATCTATTGCGTTCTTATTTATAGAGCTTTTTAGTGCTCTCTCCTTCGATGTGGGACAAAATTAGAGTTGCGTAGCTAATAGAATGTATATATTTATTACAATATTGAAAGCATAATGTGACGAATTGGTGGAGGAGGTTAGCTCTACGGATTTTGGCCTGCGCTTCCCACCATCAATTCCTCCCATGCGCAATTCAAGATTATCACCCACCGTGCCCCTTTGGGGCTTTATTTTTATTTTTAAAAAACGTAAAAGAAAAACATCATGTTGTAAAAAAAATAAAAGGGAAAAAATAAAAAATAGAAGAAAAAAAATCATGTTGTAAAAAAAATGAAAGGAAAAAAATAAAAAAATAGAAGCTAAGACAACAAGCATTTTTGGTAAAAAAAAAAAAATTACATCTTTTTATTTTTCTTGTCAAAAAAAAGAAGAAGTAATATAACGTATTTCTTGTCAAAAATAAAATAAAAGATAATAAAAAATAAAATAAAATGTAGTACAACGTCTTCTTAAATTTTTTTGTTAAAAAATAAAATAAAAAGTAACACAAGTATCATATTTTTCTTAGCAAAAAAAAAAGGTAATACAACATATATTTATTGTCAAAAAAAATAAAAGGTATTTATAAATACAACAAGTATTTCTTAATATACTCTAGGAATAAATGATATAATATTATAGTTGGTGAGGTTGTAATAATACACCCTAGGGCACCGATCCGTTTTTTAAACCACTGGTTTATTCCATTTGAAATCTCTTTTTTTTTTACCAACAATCTCTTTTACTAAATTTATTCTAGAAATCTAAAAATTTAAAATTTTGATAAATTAAAGTGTTATTTCAAAAACTGGTACACATTCTAATAATGTTTGTATTGATAACCAAATCTTTTATTTTATTTATTAATTTTTGCATCATTAATCATGTAATGTACTATTTTTCTTACCGTTGTCAATAATACATTTTAAATTTGATGATATTATAAAATATTTTGGATTTGTTATTATTTGTATAATAAAATAATTATAAAATGTAAACCAACAATTTTAATTTCAGTATATAATATTATAGTTAGTTAGGTTGTAATAATTTTGGTTTATAGTTAGTTAGGTTGTAATAATTTGGGTTTTTTTAGCGGATTAGGGTTTCCCGCCAATTCAAGATTTTAGTGGTCATTTTTTTATCGATTTAGTCTACTCTTTATTGCAGTCCATGTATAATTATATACTTTGTCCATGATAATTCTATGATTTTTCTTTTATGTGATGTAAATTTAATAGTTAACATAAGTTTATATAGGGAAAGAACATCTCAATATTCACAAATTGATGAAGAAAATGAAAGTTAACAATGTAGTACCCTCATTTCTTGTTGGATTCCTAAAAGACAATATTTATAATGAATTTTAATAATTTTTTTGGATTTTGTTTTAAAGCTTAATCTGACCTAGTCGGCCGATTCCCAATCCGGATCGTTGATTCGTCGATCCGGATGGGTTTTTGGAGTGCTCGATCCGGGTTACCGATCCGTTTCTTAAACCATTGGTTTATTGTGATATTTTGTCATACGCTTGATGACTTTTGTATCTTATTGTTCAGCACTATTATGTGTCTTCAACTTTTTGTTGTAGAGATGAAAGTTAATAAATTAAAATGTATTCATAACTTCCAGAGTTTATTTAGACAATTTGAGTGAGTATCAAAAGGGATTTCTGTAGATGCCTTAACAAATACTAGTTGGGGGTTGCTAGTGACTTCAAAAGGAAAAGAGCTGGTTCCACTAAACGTAGCCTCAAACACAGGGATACAATCCTAACGAAGAGACCATCAATGTTTACATCAGGACAAAATTTGGAAATTCATCGTGACAATTCTTGCCCATGTAGATGTTAACAGCTAGACATCTTGCATGTAATTCACTTTAGTAATAAACAAGCTCGTTGAAGATAAAGCTTAGACATCACAAAGTAAGTTTATAATAGGCGAATGAAGTTTTAAGCAGCACTGAAATGTATGCACGTTGATTGATAAGCATGGGAGTACAACTCTTGCCAAAATCGAGGCATAGGATGCTCAAGGCTCTGATAAAGTGGTTAATAATATTACGCATCATCTCTGAGAATTCCATTGCATGCAATTCTAATTGGATCCCATGGTTTCTTACAAAATGTTCATCTTTAACTTTTACGATATCCAAGGGAGGGAATCCAATACTACAGATCCATATGGTACAAAATCAATGGGATCTATGCTCTTGTTGCACCACAATCAATACTCCAGAGATTGTGATTGTCTTCGAATATGGTTCTTACAAGATCTGATCGCTCACCAAAAGCTACATATTTTGGAATCCTATAGCATCTCTCCTCTCTCTATCTCCCC